TAACAGATGCCAAAGTCAACTTATAATATTTTTTAAGAATAAACCAGATTTATAAAATTAAGGGAAGGAATTACCTTCCCCTCAGCACTCTGTTAAGCCCTGATGTGCTTTACCCATTTACCTCCCCATTTCCCCACCTGAGAGGCAAATCCTCTGCCCCCAGACTGCTCTAAATGATGGGACAGCATCTTCTGCCAGCAAAATTGAGGAATCAATTTTGGAAATGAGGAATAGCCAGCCCAGTTCTTAACAAACCCCCAGCAGCCACTCCTCCCTCCATCCCCATTCTAACACTGGGTAGACAACACAGTGCTTTCCAATCACTCCAGGGACCTCCACCCCTATTAAAAGTCACATTTTCACCTTGTAGTGCAACACTCATCATCATCTTTGCAGATTTCCTGCATTACAGCTTTTCAATGAACAGTGATTTACCTAACTAAAAGCACATTTATCAAGACAAACTCTATAAACAAGTGTATATTTGAAATTTAAATTCCATCTCTCTGATAAAATGCTGCAGCCAGATCAAAGAAATCAAAGCAGTGGGGCTGGTGCAATGCATGAAAAATACCAAGTCCAACTCTGAGAGCAGTGGAAGTGAAGAGCTGGGATGCTTGGGACTGACAGCACCAAGGAGAAGAGAAACCTGACAAGGTTTTCCACCCAAGAAAAACCCTTCAGCCTCTGATGTAGGTGCCATTAGGATCTCATTGAATAAAGGCACAGAGCTGAGGAAATGCAGGATCAGAGCTGCAGAGCCTGGGCAGAGGAACCTCCCTGGTGAACCTTGGTTTCAGTGAAATCTGTGATAAATAACCAGAGAAGATCCCTGGTTGGTGACAGGGCAGAGTAAACATTAAGAGTGATTAATAAACAAATGCCAGTCTACAAAACTAATTGTCAATGCTGAATACCAAGAGTGGCTTTGGATCCTCACACCACCAAGGATAACCAGTGGAACAGCAATAGCCTGGGCAGGAGAAACAGCCAACAAAGGATTAAGAGAAAACCTCAGCATAAAATCTTGCAACAACTTTGGCTGGAAAGAAGAACAAGATCATCCAGTCCAACCCAACCTCCTTCTCAAAACAGGGCTCCAAAATGCAATTTGTACAATACTACTTCCTGATGATTTGGGAAATAGATGTTCTGGTCAAGAAGTTCAGGGAATGCTGTGAAGCTGCAGTAGCACCAGTGATGGAATGATGCTGCAACACAAGAAGACCAAACCCAAGTTGAGGTCAAGATTTATTAACAGCTAGTGATGAAAACAGTCAAGAGATACAAAGCCATTTACAATGACTAAATAAACCAGTGTGGATTCCTTGAAGCAGCCAAAGAGTGCTGGCATTAAACAGGATGAAGAAAGTGACAAACTCCTGATAGGCCACCATGAGATCTGGTTGGATCAAGACAAAAACAGATTTGCAAACAGACCTAAAATGAAATGAGGAGTTGGGCAAAAAATGCTGAATTCCTCCATAGGGCTTGACATCTTCATCTCAAAAATAAACCAGTGCTGTGAAAAAGCTAACAAAAAAAGTGTGTTAACTTAACAGTGCTCATCCTGAGCTGTGCATCCCTGGTGTTAAAAAAGGCAGAATTGTACCATGAAGAGCCTGTATCAGTTTCCCTTTTCTCTTAGCTAGTGTACCATTGAAATGAAACTCAAAATTCACATTTTCTAAGGGAGCAGGGGACCAGCAATGCTGAAGCTGCTGGATGAGCACGAAGGGTTAGCTCTGGGCCAGGTGGAAAAGGCAGAGTTTCCAAATTCAAGCAGTAATTTCCAAAGAGTGGACCTACATCCAAGGCAGTCCTGGTTCAAAGGCTCCCATCAGACTGAGCACGTGGGAATTCAGTGCCCTGCTCCCCTCCTGCAGCCTGAGGGACCAGCAGGAGCCTCCTGCCACTGCCAGCTGAAAAGCTTTTCATATGAGGACAACCTTCTGTCAGAATCCTTTTGGGACAATGACAGATAATCACACTAAATTATGAATAAAAGAGGCAATAGCTTCTTTCTGGAAAAGCACCAAAACTGAGGGGAAAAGGCTCATGGAAGTATTTCTAATAGATCTCTGAAAAACTGTCTACAGCTTATCATGGACACATCTTGGCATGAAGAATGAATAATTCCAAGAACATTTGATATATTGATATAATTTACATATATATAAATGTGATGCAAATGTATATAATGTGAATTTATAGAAACACAATTTTTTACTAGAAGGGCACAGAGCCAAATTAAAAGGGGAACAATGGACAAGATGTAAAATACAGTTGCTCTTCCTGTGCCTCTTGCAGGGGTTTTCCTGATTCATGATGGAAGTATAAAGCAACACACATATTTTATTCATCAAAATATATTGCTGATAAATCTTGAGTGACTTTCCATGGCAGTTCCACTACTCCTGAAATCACTTGGAGTTTTAAGTAATATTTCCTCTCACTGCAACCTGGTTTGCTTAAAAAAATTACATTACATTTACTCAACACTTCTTTAAGCAATGAAACCCTGGCAGAAATCTGTTTATTGGTATCCAAATCCCATATAAAACAACATTCAGTATTCCCTTGCAATTGGCCCCACAATTTACAAGCCCACAGCACTATGGAAATATATAGGACAATATATTTATTGCAACCCATCCAAAGTTTCTTGACTGTTGATTCCTTATCTGCTTCCCGGAGTCCTGCTGAACGTTTACATAAGATGATTGCTTTTAATCTTTCTGTGTTTGCTTCAGACATGCCCTGACAACCACTTAGAAAAGTGGTATTTTCCTGACAAAATGAATCATTTGTCTTCTACCACCAAGTTGCAGATCTTTGTTACAGAAATAGAAAGGCTAGAACATGCCCTAGGAAGTTTCTTTCTCTGCTTTGAAACTATAGGGAGCAGATATACTCCCTTTGAAAATCCTGTGATAAAAAAAAAAAAATTAAAATAAAAAAAAAGTGGCACAATTTCCTGAAGCATGAGCTCATAATGGGAACAACATACTGTGACAAGTGGATTGCAAGAGGAAAAATACAGCGTGGAATTGCACAACTCCTTTCTAAGTCAAAGTACTGACACCATGCTCTGCTGAGAAAACCTTTTGTGCCTCTGATTTAATGATAAATTTCATGTGATTTCTCCTGGTTGGAGGAATGGAACAGAAACAAAACCAAAACACTGTCCTGACGTGTTAGCATTAAATATCTCCTTCAAGAAATAAACTTTGTGTCTTTGATTGTTACATAAAATTCTATTTTTGGCCAGAACAAGAGGGAGAAAAAGAACAAGAAAATAACCACAATTATTCTCAAACCAAGAATCCACGAGAGGTCTAAAAACATGAAGGAGAAATCCTTTCTAAGGAAGAAAATACTTCCTTTTCCAGCCCTATATTCCAGTTTTCACCACCTCTGCATGGCAAACTGTGGTCAGTGCTCAACTCTACTCACCCAATGCATCCAGAACAGTCTCATCACCCTTAAACTCGGGTCCTTCCCAGTTTTAACCACTTCTGTTTTTTTCCAGCTCTGACCTTCCCAAGGCTATCACTCCTAGCTCTATTTTCTGGCATGCCTTTCCTTCCCAGAAATGAGCCCTCCTCCTCTAGCATCCACCCAGGTTCAGATCCTGCTCTTTCCTCTGCCCATCCTCTTCCTTGATCTCAGCAAACTCCATCACTCTTACGGTCACAGCTCACACTCTGAGTTTCTCCATGATAAAACCAATATTAAATTTTGCAAAAGTGCAGAGCATGCATTGTTAAAGACCAAAGCAGAACCATCACTGCTCTCCATCCTCCCTGGAGACTTCAGCCATCTATAATTTTTCCCCTCAGCAAATAATGCCATCAGGCCACTGCTTCACAGCAGAACATCAACAGAAATTTGTCCTCACTCTTCCTGAGCCTTTTTGGACAGATCTGAGCCTTTTTGGACAGATCTAAGTTGTGCTGCTTCTACCCTGCAAGTTACAAAACTGAGAAAGAACAGCATCTTCTTAAAACCATGAAGTCATCTACCACACTTTTCCCCTTTATGATAACCACATTCCTCTTCCAGACTTGGTATTTTCTTCCCTTATTCTTTTCGCCACTCTCTCTTTAAGCCCCTGCATTTAATTGGCTTTGGCAACTCAGGCACAACTGAAGGGGTTTTTTTCCCCATTTGTGTGTAAAAGATGTAATTGCAGTTGCTCACCTACATTTTGTTTACTAAGGATACAGATCACCATTTTCCAGCTCACTGTATTTGCCTTCAAGCTTTCTGCCTTTTATAGAAGCATTATTCCTACATATGTCATCTTTCTTCCCCCTGACAAAAAATCGCCCACTGATGTCTCTTTGTTAGAATACAACAAATCATAATTATTAGTCAACAGTATAAATGTCCACCACGGGACAAAAGCAAATCTGGGGCTTTTCCTTTGCTGAAAAACCCTTTGGTTTAGAGTTGCTTCCTACTTCTAGCCTATTTCATCTGCCAGTTGAAATACAGAGTGACCTCTCCATATGGCACTTTCAACATACATAAAAAAGATACAGATGCACAAATGTTTTGTCTAAAGCATGGAGAAATTGGAAAGCATCCTTCAGTTCCAATTTATTGTCTTTGCACTGATACCGTAATTTAGAAAAATTAAAATGTTCCAAAGTTTGTGTTTGATAATAACTAACATTTCTAAAGCAGTTTTTCAGATGCTCTTTTTGAAAAAATGGACTATATACATTCTTTAGTATTAAGCAAAAGGGCCTTTTGTGAAGAAAAATACCAGTTACTGATGTCTATCCAACAATCAAATGTGCCTCTGTGTGGGCTGTACACACTCATTCTCAGAACAGACCTGCTGATGACTGAGCTACTGCTTTCAGAGAAATTATTTTTTTTCCTTCAAAATCCTTCAGAAAGTTGGGTTGATTTTTTTTAGCAATAATCCCAAAACATTTCAAATCATGTGAATAAAGATCTCAAGTGATTTAACCAAAATAACACAGACATAACCACAGAGAGAAGAGTCTTTTTATTTTCATGAAAAGGACAAAGGTTCAATACCATAAAGTTCAGACCCCAAAATATGTCCTAAAATCTGAAACATAGACTTGATCTAAAATAAAATCCCAACCCCTCAGATGCTTGTGCTTCATCCTCTGCATTCAAGAGCTGAAACCATGAGATGTACACAGTCAACTATTCTGCAGTATGTTGGCACCCACAAGCACTTGTACAGATCTGAAAGCATGAATTTACTATTTTTCTGGAGGCAAAGAAATAAGATCATCTTGCCAAGGTGTTGCACTCCCCCTCTCCATCAGGGACAGCCCATCCCAGGCATTGCCTTTCTTCTGTAAGCACAGTGTCCAACCTCACCAACAACTCATCTCCAGCAAGGGATGCAGGGCAGTGATCTCCCAACAGCTGGACCTGACAGGCCACAGCTGGATGAAGAGAATCTCTATGAGCAACCAGGACATGCTGCTCACAACTACATTTCCAAAGTGGCTGAGTTGAATAGGGATGTAAAAAGCTCCTGTTCAGGCATTTCCTCCTCAAGAGAAAAGCTTTTCTTGCAGGATGTGCTGACAGCAAAAGCAGGTGATTTTGGGAATGTGTAATCCAAGCACAGAGACTGTTGGGAATATTAATCCAAGGGGCTCCACCTGTCCAAGAGCAGATGGGGCACCAGAATTCACAAAGACCCATCAGGGCTTTAGGAGCATCCAAAAACATGGCACCATCCCCTGACCAGGACATAGGAACTTGGCTCCATCAGGAAAAGAAAAGCAAATAAAATTAAACCTTGCAGAAAGCAGATTTGAACAACACAAGTGGTTTGTCCTTCCATCTTCCATGACAGCAATGCCACTACATCTGTTTGAAGAAGTTTCTCTGCAGCAGCACCTTCAAACCGTAACTTGCTACATGTGCTCTCTCCTTATCTCCAGATGTTAAAACCAAGTTAATCTCTCAGCAGAAATGCACAAAATGCTGTCCTTGGACCATGTGCAGCACATCCCACACAAGCTTTGCTGATGCTGCATGATCACCAACCAGAGGAAACAAAGCACTGCAAGGTAACAGAGACTGGAGGTGCACGTGGGAAACAAGAAATTTTCCTTAGTAATAAATTCAGAATATCAGACAGAAAGAAAAATTATGTCCCATTATGCCCCCTGGTCAGGGTACTTAGCTCTTTGTTTCCCCACAATGCTTCCCAAAGGGTTGATCCATCCTTTCTCCAGCTGCTCTCACAAATGCATCCTGTCCCATACTAAATTCAGTGTACTTAAGATATGCTGCACTTCATCCACTAGAGCACCCAGTAGAGAATCCATCTGCTCCATTCCCACTCTGATCCAGCTCACACCTGGCTGGCACAGCCCAAAATCTTACAGCACAAGATGGGCATGGCAACCTGGGGCTCAGCTGGGAGCTTTCCACTGAGAGCCTGCCAACATTTCCTTGAATCCATTCTTCCCACTATGCTCTCCTGTACCCACAGCAACTGTGAAATCACTATTAATTATGTCCTTTTGCCTGACCCACTTATCTCAGAATTGCAGTATCTGGGATGGGCTAAAAACAGGAAAAAAAGGGAGGGAAGCTGCTCATTTTGCTTCCTGGACAACTCCTTTCAGAAAAGCCAACTCTGTTCTGATTTTCTCCACTATTTTTTCCTCTGTCTTTCCTTTCTTCTTCAACTTCTCTTCTGTATCTTCCTTTTGTTTCTCTCTGCAAGAAGAGGAACTGGGTTAGGAAAAAGGAACGATGGAGAACGCTGATCTAAATTGCTTCACATCTTCAAATATGTGGAGAGAAAATGATGGGGCGTGGGAAGGGAATGAAGCCCTGTGGGTTTTCTTTTCCAGATGACTTTCCTTCCTTCTGGCTCATGACTGAACGAGATATGAGAGAATAAGAACTGCTGGAGATTTTGGCAAATATTGAAAAGGAGAACATGCAACTACAATTATTTGGAGAATAAGAAGCAAATGCTAAAGAAAAAATAAACCCCACACATACAGACTACGGGCTCTTTCCAGAGGGAGAAGGTTTTATTCAGTCTGAATTAAATGTGTGTATTTTTCCCATTAATTCAAGCGTGGATTTCATATAAAATTCACAAATACCTATGCCAAATACAGCAAGGAACACCAGCTTAGAGGCATCAGAAAGCATTCTTTTATTACAAGAGAGAAGACACGCAGTTCTGTTTCCTGAAGGATGGCAAGGAACCAGAAAGAGATGAAAGCACAACCTTAATATTGCAACTAACAACGTTCAAATGTTCTTGCCTGCACATTAGGAGGCACCACCATGCATTTTTTGCTTACATTTACTTCTGCATGGAAAATAGATTAAAACTGGCCCTGGTACTGTGCGCTGCTATCTGGAGCAGGGCTAATTTCTGGTTCAGAAGAAAGGACCCTCATGGTAAAACCAGAGCACATGAGCATGCCTGGGTTGTTCCTACAGAAGGTGAGCTGTGCTCCAGGTCCTGAAGCAGAAGGCACCGAGCTGCAGCTGCCCACAGAGATCCCTGTTCCCCTCTGAAATGGCTCCCACATCCCTCCTCATCACCCAGCACAAACCAACACAGCCACCAGAACTGCAAACCCACCTACAGGGAATGCAGGCACACAAAGTGAGGATTTATTTGAACATAAGCTGCTCTTGAGACGTCCTTTCATGGGTTTGTTTCCTTACTTGTGACCTTTGGGAAGGCAAGAAGGATGCATTCAAAACCTCAGTCGTTGTTTGTTTGCAGAGGTGATACCATCCATGCAATACATGTACTACACATACCTGATTATTTGCCTTCACCAAATGCATCAGAGAAAACAATTTGTTTGGTTTTAACTCATTTAAAATGGAGATATCTTTCACTGGGAGAAGAGCTTTCCATAGGAACAGGGTTTGCACTCTGTGACGTTTTCAGAAAGACCTAAGAAATAATATAAAATAACAACTATTTCTGCCTCCTGCCAGGCTTGTTGGAGTATTTTAAAACAGCTTTGCTAAAATAAACCAAGTTTTTTTTTCCCCGAACAGATTTGCCACCAGGGAACCAAATCCTACCCTTATAAGGCTACAGCAAAACAAAAGTCCCAAAAAAAGTACAAAATCCAGTCCATTTTTTAACTCAGGAAAGAGGAATAATAAGACACAACAGGTTTAAAATCAGTTTCTTCAGAATTTGCAAGTCAGATGCTTCAGAAAATAATGTTCCCAAAGATCACCCTCTGGTCCTTCACTCCACTCCCCTCCATCCAGGGAGATCTTGAACTGTTAAAGAGCTACAAAGCTAAAGCAGAGATTTTAAATCCACAGCCAGGATTCAGACTTTCCCACTGCAATGTTTTACACACACAGAAAGGGTTACATTTACCATTAAAGAACTCAAACTGTTATGGCAAAGCAGAAATTATTTAAACAACTTTGCCTACAAGGATTGATCCTCCCTCGGTATTAAAACCCCAATATACACAAAAAAGAAAGGAAAACCTCTTAGTGTTAAACATTGGAGAAAGATCTTAAAAATAATGGACTCTAAAATAGTTTACAAGAATCTAAAATAATGCCTGTGCTAAGCTAACACAGAAATCAAACTATTTGGAAAAAAAAAAAAAAAGAAAAGTCAATGTTAAATATTAATGTTTTGGTTCTCTCCAAGGCAGGACAAATTGCAGGGGGAAGAAAATGTTGAAAAGCAAAGGTGGTTTTTTTTTGGTTTTTTTTTAATTTTACCTAATTTCTGCTCTGGACCATATTCTATTTAAGAAATTGCATGAGAAATTGCTCCAAAGCTGAGTTGAACCTCACCCAAGGTTAAGTGAACACCAAACACAGACCACTTCCTTTGGTTCTTGGTATAAAAACAAAATATTACCAAAATATGCAGCAACAAAGGATGCTGCCACGGCAGCTCGTCCGAGCAGCTCCATGGCTGCAGTGTTCCAAGCCTGGGTAAATAAACTTTAAAGGATCTTGAGAGGAAAAAGTTCTTTCCATCCTCTTTTTTTTCATTATCCGACACTACGAGTTGAGCTGTATAAAAGATTTCACTGTGGCACATACAAAAGCAGCGGCACACCAGCGAGCACTTCATTAATTAAAAGCCAGAAAAGGAAGTTTGCTAAACGAAGCAAATGTTCTTATCACTCCTATCTATATTCATTAAAACTGACAGGAAACCAAATATCACCATCTGTCTACTTGCAATAAAGACACTAAAAACAGCTCCGGGGTAGAAGAATAATATAAAGTATAAAACTGCAGTTTTTCAAGTTTCAGTTTTAAATGGACAAGAGAGAAACTGATGTCAGACGAGGGAGAATGAAGGATGACAAGGAGCTGGTACATGAGACTGAAAAAAGAAATTACATGCTTTAGAATATAAATTGAAGCCCCTTTCAAATCTCAGAAAACAAACAATAAGCTAAAGTTTGCACTGTCTTTTTCATTCAGGTCAATGGGTCTGGAAAAAGCCAAGTGTTGCAACGGCAGCTCATTTGCCTACTTACAAATAACTGCTACCAAAAACAGTCGGAAAATTGTATTATGCAACATAAGCTGCAAATTTTTAATGGTCAAGCAAGTCCCAGGAAACACTTGTGTTTTATTATGTCTTGATACACCCTCTTCAGATTTACAAGAGATCATTCTTTTAATTATTCCTATATTTGGATTTTGCTTTTAAATCAGAAACCTGATATAAAATTGAGTAAGATTTGATAAAAGGAAAAAGATGGCAGAGGTACTAACTTAGCTATGAAAAGAAATACCAGGCTGGGCTCACACCAGCAGTGGCAGAGGTCAGCTGAAGGTCACTGATTAAAGGTATTTTCCAGCATTTGTACAATTCCTACCTTCTAGTAATCACCTTTTTTTTTTTTTTTTTGCACTGCAGGGGAGAGGAAAGAAAAAACAAATAGATGGTAATAAGATATTTAACGACAGAAATGAAAATAAACTACTGCTCACACTCTCAAGAGCACAACTCCCTGTCGTTAATTCTGCACTATTCCCCAGCTGCATTTTGCATAGCAATGAAAAGCACTTCCAGTTCCTCTCAATGCTGCATAAAATATTAGCTCCACAGTCACAGTTTTTAAGACTAAATAAGGTTAAAGTAATTTAAGCCTGAGATACACAGAAAAAAAAAAAAAGAAAATTCATTGTTAAAAGTCTCCCAGCCCCCTGTGATGTTGAGGTACTGGAGCACATATGGTGCAGAGCAGATCCCTGGGACCTACAGGAAGCACAAATGGGGTCAGGAGAGGAGGAGCAAGGGAGTTCAAGACTAAATTGAAGCCTTGTTGATTTTTATTATTAAGTTCTTCCAGGACAGTACTTTTATTTTGTTTATTTTCTGTCCTAAGAACAGTAATTCATACCTCGAAAAAGGCTCTCATTAATATTCTATGAGAATGCTTTTTTAGCCTCAATACAATTACAGCAGAGCAATTATTATTCTTCTGTTAATACTTTAACAATACTAAGAGAACTATTAACTATTAGCTCAGCATAATGAGGCATTTGTGAAACAGAACTGTAAGGCTACTTCTGTTTGTAAAGAAACCACAACAGAATTACACAAGTTAAATAAAATCTGAGTGTAAATAAGTCACTGTAAACTGATGTGCAAATGTGCCATCAGATTCCTCCCCGATTCTGAGGAATCTCTCAGTCCTCTAAGGATATTGGAAAACCAAACATTTTTAAGTGAAGGCTGAAATTCAAGAGTAAATTCTTTTTTATGTTCAGTATATAACGGAGACATCTCTTTGTGCATGCCAATGAAATCATTGGGATGCTTAGGAAGGATTTGGTAGGCACACCTGGAGGTATGTAACAGAAGAGAAAATACAAAACTATCCATAAAAAATTCCTGAGTGTGCTGTAAAAATGCATCCAGGCTGATGTTGGAGAATGTTTGTTTATTCTAAGGTGGTTATACAGCATCTAAAACACAAGAAACATTGCTGCAATGGGAGGGAAAAGCCAGTGTTGACATGTTGCCTTTATAAACCTTTTATTAAAAGCTGCATAGTAAGGGCAACAAGCATAACCCAGATTATTAGATTTTGGAAAATTTTATTTTATATATGCCTTGTTAGAGCTCCTATTTTCCTTCTGAGAGTAGTAACTGTGGAAGTTGCATTTAAAATTATTTGCTAACAGAAAGCAAATGAATACTCAGGTTCTTCAGGAGCATGGATAATCAATGGAAAAGGTGATGAAATTCTCTGGCAAAAAGAGAAAGCACAATTCACTCCTGTGGTTCTCTTGTCCACAGCTACAACAGTAACAGGGTGCAAATCAAAGCATCTTCCACAGCAGATATTGGAGAAAACCAGCCCCAGACTCCAGACTCCTTGGATTTGAGAATGCCAGGCTGGGAAAAGCTTTTTCAGTTCTTGGGAACTGAGAAAAGATCCATTTCCTACAATCCTCTTAAAAAGGTAAATGAAGCTGAATCCTGAAACACACTCTTAGTCCCTCCCATTCCCATACTGATGGAGCTGTTCCTGCACTATTTTCCTTTAATTATGGGAAACTCTGTTCTAATATCATAGACACACAATACTACCAGTATTATTAATTTATTTAATTAATTATTAATTTAATTATGAAAATATCAACTTATTAAAGACCAGTATGGGTTTTATTTAATCTTGTACCCACCTTGTTTATGAGCTGATGAATCTCCTTTGCCTGGTCTGTACCCA